ATATTAAAATTCATAATTGGTACTGTATTGTTACACTCGAACAATTCGTACAAACAGTGTTAGGATTATGGCTGATTGAATGTGTTTGTTAAGCATGTTAAAATAAATTCTTTTCAAAATGTATTTTTGGAGGGCCTTTGTTTTTTCTCTGTTTTGTATATAATGACGGAAAGTTCGGAGACAATCTGATTTTCAGATATGTGCTGCATGTAAACGTTACGGGAAGCGTACACACAATGTAATTAACGTCATTCTGATTTATCTTCTGATGTGATTGATCCGTATGGGTTCCGAGCAGGTTAAAAAATAAATGGAAATGGGTTGACTTTTACAAGTAAAAGATATATGTACTGTTTGCTTGGTTGTATTTATGCTAACGTTTTTGATGCAAATTGAAACCGTATGACAATTTCTTGTACTTTTCTCGAAACTGTAAAATTGGCGTGTAAGATAAGAGAATTTTAAGAAGTGAAAAGGTGGAGGATGACATTAACAATTCTAGAGATATTACAATGTATATTTGTTTCCATTAATACCTGGTTTCATTAAAGAATATCGTTCTTTTCGTGACCATCGTAAAGATATTTACATTAGTTAATGGATGAGAGATTTTTTTAAAGACGATTAATCAAACGTGGGGTCAAAGAAGAACGCGTCTTAATGTCCATTTATCGTTTCGTTTAAGATAATATACAATTAGAGATATATAAATAAAGACTACTAAAAGTACAGTTGTTTTGACTTTTTCAAACATTAGGTTTAGTGCATGTGATGGTATCACTTTTTGTATTTTAGACCAGGTGTATGTACCATATTTTTACACACCATTTTTTGTCACTTTATGCATATCTTTTGTTGTGGGCTCCGCGTTTGTCAGGGTATCTGACCATAGTTAATGATCATGACCATTTTTCGAAGTCATGCCGTTTTCTTCTCGGTTATTTGTTACCAAGGCAACCTACCGGAAGCCTTGCAGCATCCAAATCAGCATACGCATTTATAAAAAGTGTCAACAATATTATTATTATTATTATTATTATTATTATTATTATTATTATTATTATTATTATTATTATTATTATTATTATTACCTATCGTATTCACCATGTGTATATAGCTTATGGCAGAATCGCGTTTGATTATAACTGTCTACGGAATCTTTCAAACATTCGATTGCTATTATTTATTATGTGTACATTTTCTGTTCACACTCTTGTAGATCGGAACCCTAAGCTTTTAAATAATTTAATTTAATTGATACTGTGAGGTCATAATAACAAAACTTGATTATTTCTTATTTCATTTAGTAATACTTGATAAAACGGTGACTGCAATTCAAATACTTAAACTCGTAAAAGCAACCCCAAGCCACAAAGACTTTGAAGTTGAAAATGGCTACTAGTATACCACAAGGTTATCTACCAGGGTGTTGAAATGTCATACGACATTATCACAATGACATGGCGATATTAAGATTCCATTCCATTGCTACTTGATCCAATTATTTGACTGACATAATATTTAAATGATCTTATCTTTTTTATCCCCGACGAAATCGCAGGGCAAATAAACTAAATATCAAAGTAAAAATAAGATGTTTCTTTATCAGTTATAATGACTTTTGACAGATTATATGTCCCTATATAACCGGTCGTTTGCATAAATAACCCGAGCCGATATAATTATAAGAAAAAAGTTAAAACCAAAATATTATACTTATATAACACTGTATATTACTATCGAATTTCATCAACAATTCATTCCAACCACGATCATATAATCTTTAATTATTAAAGATATTAGTGAGAGAAACAGTCCCAGATATATCAAATGTTCGGTTTCCAACATATGCTAGTGTTCACACTGTTGATGGACACTCATATTTCCTAATTCGTTTACATTTAATTGTTATGTAGGTACAGTTTATTATGAAAGGTTGAATAGTTCAGGCTGTAATTAACCCTTCTACATAATTATATAAGGCTTGTTTTATTTTATGGCCATAAAATCTTATTTACTGGCTTCTAAAACCACGCGTAATTATATTGTCCAGCTACTTGTAGAAATACGATATTTTATGATTAATTTTATTGTAAGTTTTATAGAATTTTGTCTTTTAGTAAGCATTTATCATACAAATTAGTGCGCGCGCATCTTGTGAAATGACATATTCTCACGTATGGCCGACTGTATTTGACTTCTCAATGTCAGGAAGTAATTCAACTTTCAGAAGTTTTTCAAAGTATTTTCTGTCGTATTCCCCTCTTTAAGATTCAACTATTGAATAAATTATTTTAAAAACAAAAATTATACTTAGATAAAAAAAACTAAAAAAGTATGACCCCGACGTGATTCGAACACGCAACCTTCTGATCTGGAGTCAGACGCGCTACCGTTGCGCCACGGAGTCAACTGATAATGGAATGATCTATTATCGGTGTACTCTCATGTGTATATATTTACTACTCTTATCAGTTTTGTAGACTTGTGCTTTATGACAATCATTTATTGACATTTTCTACGTTAACGTTATATTATATCGGAACAAAATCTAGCCTGGTAGATGTTAATTGTGCATATCAATAGATATAGAGTAACAATTATTTTCATTACAACGAAATAAACGACCCTTGTGGCTGAGGGGTTGCCGTTGATGATTGCGGTCCTAAGTGATCGTAAGAGGTTCGGATAACTGGAGTGTTCGCAACATTTAGCTCCAGCAGGTGAGATGGTTTTGATCTCTGGTGTTGCCGTATTATCTATGAAAAATGTACTGTTAAAGGAACTCCACTGTGGTCCTAAAGACTAAAGACATAAAATATAGAACAGCTGGGACACTTAAACGTAGATAATTAAGAAATATTCTCAGGAGTAGGTTGAAAATCTAGTTTTCGTATTTGTCCGATATGAGTAAAAACGTTGCAACGCTTTTCAATTTTGGGTCATTTTTATAATTAAAATAAATATTCTGTAAAATCGGATTGCAATAGATCTAACATTTTGTACACGAGTTATTGGTGTAAACTTACATGCAATTGAACATTTTTCTCGAAATGATATTTCGAGTCCAGTCATAAAAAGAAATTTTAGTGAAGTTCCTTTAACTTCGAAGATACAGTCGTACATCGATATTACATCAAAATACTCATTACAGTATGTCGGATAAAGTACTTTGAAAGTACCTGGGCAGTTACCAGTCCCATCTTCTCTTGAAAATTCTGTGATATGATAGAAAAAAATAGCACAGACTGAAAGATATATCTGTGTGCTTTATGCTATAGCAAACAAATTTGAATCAAAGTTTTCCGAATATTAGGAAATATTTTATATCTATCAATAATAACCACTAAAGTGTGTGTGAAAACTTTACTATCCGCTTCGTATTTCTTATCCCCAAATTTAATTGAGTTTTTTATTTCTTTCTCCCAAATGAAAATAAGTAACCTTAAATAACGTATGTTACCACTCTGTTTACAGAAGTAAAAGAAATGGGAGAAATGCAAATTAATTGTTTATATTTAAACATAACGCCTAAAAAAAAAGTTTGACCCCGACGTGATTCGAACACGCAACCTTCTGATCTGGAGTCAGACGCGCTACCGTTGCGCCACGGAGTCACATATCAGAACTTATCTAATTTGCCATATAAATTGTATAAATATATATCTACATATGTTCTCTGTATAGAGCAAAACGCTGCGTATTGAATATTAAATTAATATAAATGTATTATAGCATTTATACTTCTGTAAACTGTTGCATGCATATATAATACAATAATTCATTCATTAATCGTCTGTAAAGCATATTGACGAAACAAGATCTTATCATTTCACAACACTACATCATTTATACAGTGATCATATATTAATTGTATTTAAAGAAAGTAGATCTGTTTTGTTTTTGTTTTGTTTTGGTTGGTTTTTTTCTTGTCTTTTTTGTTGTTGTTTGTTTGTTGTTGTTTTTTGTTTGTTTGTTTGTTTGTTTTTGTCGGGTTTTTTTTTTTTTTTTTTTTTTTGGGGGGGGGGGGGGGTATATCTTTATTCTATTCAATAGCCTACTAAATTAATTATCATATAAAACTTGGCATTTAACAGATACAACTTCTAAATAAATAGGTATTTGAAAGAAATTTACATAAGTCTTTGACTTTCTTTTCAATCCTGTTTTTATATAATGTCGTATCATAATTGTATATGTTTGTATTATATGAAATACCAAGTATTTGAAATGTTTGACCGTCATGTGAAGTATGTTTATCCTTTGAAGCAGGTTGGTTATGAGAAGTGTAGGTTTTGTCATGTGAAGTAGGTTTGTAATGTGAAGTAAAGTTTGTCATGTGAAGTAGGTTTAGTTATGTGAAGTAGGTTAAGTCATGTGAAGTAGGTTAGTCATGGTCCTATGATGTAGGATGGATATGTATATTAACTTTGCTTTTTATTCTTACGCTTAATCCGTTCGGATGCAAAAGAAATAGTTTCAAATAGATGACTTGTGGAGCGCATGCGTGAATTATATTCAGTTTCTCATCGGAGTCCCTCCTATATCTTGAAAACTCATGAAATCAATACAGAATCAACTTTTTTATTTCCTTAAAATACAAATATTCAGAATATAAATGATCATACAAAGAAACGAGAAATTAAAGATGAATTTTGAGCAGATACAAAAAAAAACAAAACAAAATTGTTACAAATATATAAATAACAAACGAGTTGAATAAAACGCTATTAAAACACACACTTCTATATATTCATGTCACAGAAAAAGAAAAATGAGCCGTGTCATGACAAAACCAACATAATGGGTTTGCGACCAGTATGGATCCAGACCAGCCTGCACGTCCGCGCAGTCTGATCAGGATCCATGATGTTTGCTTACCAACTCTATTACAAGTAGAGAAACTGATAGCGAACAGGATGGCATCCGCGCAGTCTGGTCTGGATCCATGCTGGTCGCAAACGCATTATGTTGGTTTTGTCCTGACACGGCTCAAATAGTTGTTAACATCGATTGACTTTTCCTGAGCATTTCACGTTCAAATTTTCAAATTCCGTCTTCAGATTTAAACGTAGGTGTAATGGGTGTGGAAAAATGACGTCTAGCTTTAAAAGGCGTGTCTAAAAACATCTGAGTTGAAACTGTGCCATTTTTCTCTGGATTAGTGTCGTCTAAGTTTTCATGTTGTAACAGCGGCAGAGGCGATTGTGGTTCCATTTCCTGAGACTCATCGTAAGTGTAACAGTCACGTGATACACGTGATTCTCGTGCTTCACGTGCTCTGATCACGTGTTTGTCTGACTTGTCAGGTGTTTCATTAACTGGTAACACATTCCTTGCAATCTTGTAATACTGAAAATGAAAAATGACTAAATCAATTTACAAAAATAAAACATGAAAAGATATATATAATTATTTATACATAATTACATACAAGTAGACAACCCAAAATTGATTTTTAAAGTTTTGACCATTTAATAGATGTTCAGTTTATTATTCATATTATATATTTATTGCATGTACACGCAAATATAAAACCAGCCTTTAGTTCTTTGTGCTTTTAATCACAAATACAAATTAAATTGCAGTATCATAAGTAAGTGAACTCTAGAGATAGCAAAAATGATTATCTATCGTGTTTAATTGTTGTTGTTGTTGTTGTTGTTGTTGTTGTTGTTGTTGTTGTTGTTGTTGTTGTTGTTGTTGTTGTTGTTGTTGTTGTTGTTGTTTTAATCACTGAGACTTTAAAGTCATATTGATCGTAGTATTTCTTTCACGAACGAGTAACATTTTAACCCACAGCGGTGATAAGCAAGTGGTTTCATTTAAACGACCTTAACCAGTTGGCCGCAGTGGCCACTTATAGTATTAAACAAAAGATAGCAAATATGAAAACAACAAAAGTACGATTTACCACCGCTAATCCAACAACAACACCCAACACAAATCCGGCAACAACATCAGATGGGTGGTGTTTGTTATCCATAATTCTATCAACACCACAAAGCACGGCAATAAAAACAAGGCCTGACTGAAGAAATGGTTTCAATATGTTAGAGTTAATAATCTGTAACCTGTCGTCTATATATACCTGCAATGGAAATCCAAGTGTTTTTATTTCCTACACTCTAAATATAAATAGTTGTTCGTTTTCAAATCAGCATCACATTGAATTATTCATAAATAAGACTCAGTAAAAAGCACTGTAAGGCTTACAATGATATTTCCCCTGGAAAGTGGTATTTGATTTCGTTTGACATAGTATCAAATTACTAAAACTGTTTTAATTGCCAAAATGCAAAAGATGCAAGTTGATAGTGCAGCTTATATGTCCAATAAGAAAACATTTTGGAAACTGTAGCAGGAAAATAAGGAGCTTTAAAAAATAAAACCATAGTGTTTGTGAGGCTTAATGGACCTTTTACTAAATAAAGAACGTTTTGATGACGCTAAGTTAATGCTGATAACATGTAAAACATAGCAGATTGAAATATGTTAACAATGAAAATAAGACAAAAAGCTAAATTTCTTTTTGAAACAAATAGTTTACTTACGCAAAAGAAAACAGCAATATACATGGCAAGAGAAGAGTGACCGGATGGGAACGATAGTCGACTATCCCGAATTTCCATGAGGTCGGAGCCAGTGCACGTGTACTTTGTGATATAGCTGAAATATAAGTTTTAAAAAAGTATTTATTCAGTCATTTTATAAGCGTTTTAGTCAGGCTTAACATCATTCAAACGTTGAGTACATTGTGGAAACAAAATATACTTGTTGTAAGATTTTACTCTAGATACAAATACTTTTTTCTCATTTATTTCACTTTAATTAATTGAAATCACCCCTAAAACATATTTCATTTTCTTGAAATATTGTAGTTTGTAACGTTGATAGTTTTGTTTCTTCCTTTTTCATCGTCATAAATGATCGTCATCTTCTTTATCATCATCATCATCATCATCATCATCATAATCATCATCATTAATTGTTCTGTAATTTTCGAATTTGGTTGTTTTCTTTAGACATATTGTAAGCTTACCCTGGGCATAGGGAGACGTTAAAGTGTGGTTTACAAACATCAAAGAAATTTGGCCGGAGTACACCCATCCTGCTTTTAATTACTTCCACCACCCCCTGTTGTATTATAAATCCAACCAGGAATATCGCATACATGTTCACAATATATAAAACCATCCCTGATGTGAAGAATTGACTCCGACATTTTTTGTCTATACAGTTAACAACTTCGATGAAAAATACCTGCAAGGAAAATAATATAAAATCTATACACTGATTTTTTTATTATTTCAGGAAGTATTTACAAAGGGAGAGAACTCAATCGGACTTATGCAGTAAGTACAAAATGCATTACTTCCCTTTTTGCCAAGTCCACAAGAACTTGGATTTTAATGATGAAATTGTAAAAAGAGCAATAATCATCTATGGCGCTGTTTAAATAATTAACTTAATTAAGAAAGAATTTGCAAAAATACTATATACATGTATACTAGTTTATAATTATGAAAACATCATTTAGCTTACCACTAGAAGAGGAACAATGGCACTAACAATTAACAGAGAAGATGTAGACAAAGTAGGTGTCTTATAAGGAAAGCTGAGAGATGGGTCGTCACAAAGGAAACCTCGTTCGTGTGGTGTTCCATATAGGAACAGTATCAATACAGGAATCGCAACTGTAAATCAATAATAACAAACGCTTATTATTGATAAACAAAAGATCGTATAAGTTCGGTAATCTTCGCCTCTTTCCGTACCTAATATTAAGTATTTGATGTCTTCTAATTAATTTTCATGAGTTCACGAGTTCAGCTTCATGAATTCATGATTTCTCAACATGGCGAGTTTACTGATTTTGAAATCGTGATTTCATGAAAACTGAAGCTTGAATTCGAGAAACCAAAATATTACCAACGGTCTTTTTAATTCATCAGTAAAATTTGGAAAAAACATCATCCCTACAGAATACTAATAATAATGTGATGTAAACATGATTAGAAAAACATATCCAATAAAAATTAAGACAGTCTTAACAAATTATGATAAAGTAGGTACGTCTAAAGGCATCAATTTAACTCACTCACTCACTCACTCACTCGCTCGCTCGCTCAATCACTCAATCACTCACCCACCCACCCATGTTTTTGTCATCCAACTTACCAGCTAGCCATAATACAGTATCAAGTACTGATTGAATTGTTACATGCCGGCGAAATAAGACAATAAACTGCGACATGTTTGTTTAATTTAATTTGTGTTTGCTTTGTCGTGTAAGCTGGTTAAGTTGCAATTCATTCAGTTGCAAAGTTCAAATTGTTTAATTGTTTAAGAACAGAATCACGATATCCAATCAAAAGTCCCTATTTTTCACAATACATGTATGTCAAACAATGAAAAGCGTTACTTTATCAATGGAGTAAGAAAAATGTCACTATATACAAATTAAGCAAATAAGTATTTATTCAATTAAGAAAAGGGTCACTTTAATATCCAACCGCGAAAAATGTTATTTGGATCCATTTTGAACGATAACTATGTGGCTAGTTACTTCCCTTGTCTTTTCCGTTCCGTACATATATTGTCTTGTGACGAAATGAAATGGACAAGTTAATTTTGAGGAATTGTTGTCCATTTCAAACACACTGGGTCTTCACATTATATCCTAATAAAGATGCACAAATATTTGAGCTTTTATTTTAAAGAAAACATCCCAAATAACCACATAATTTACATCTTTAAAACCAAGTAATATCCATTTTTGTCGGTCGTCCTGCCCATTGAATTTGTTCACATCAGAAAACAATAAGCAAAATTCCCATTAGCCGCGTAAACTTATTACACTTTTGCTTAATTACTAACTATACATAAAAATTAGTCTAACACATTTTCCATGCAAAAAACCCTAGTGTACCAAAGGTTGAAAGTGTGTATAACTCGTGTAACAACTTAATAATACAATAATTCATCAATATACTTATATTGATCCGGTCCACGGAGGTCATCTATTTGCCACCAGCACTCACATGAAGAACATTTATTTGCCACAAGCACTCACGAGTATAGTATTTCAACACAATCAATATAATCTTTTTCCTTTTTGAACAAAGTGTATGAAGATGGACACTTTGTAAAATTACTATAACCATTTGTTTCCTGCTTTGATTTTTAAATCAAACATTTTAATCAGTAGATCATAAACAAACTGAAAAAGAATAAGTTGTTAACTTCTGTAAAACAAAAGAAAGAAAAAACTAGCATGTATAACCACTGCACAGTACAGGTTCAAACCGGAGGCCAAGCGGTTGCTTAATGGTAAAGGTGAGTGTCATCCCAGTCCAGCGGTCTTGTATCCGAATCCTATACTAAGGTCACAAACTGACGATCATGTTTTCTCATATAACCAGTGCTGATTGGACACGAAGGGGGTTTAGTGCTAATTTTGGAGGGGGGGAGGGGTGGCGTTATCACAAATACACTTAAAATGGATTGTTTAATACGTTTCTGAATTTGGAAAATAGAAAATTGGAATTTTAATTTATTTTTTATTTATTATTTTCAAAATTAAAAAGATGGGAAAGTTCTCCGGGCATTTTATTTATATGCTGAATGTTTTTGGGGGCACAGAATATATATTTATATATTCATTCTTACTTCATTTTGGTCTCATTTGTATACATACATTTGCATAAATGCACGCAATCATTTCATATGTGAACATTCTATTAATGGATTTTAAGAAACATAATTATATCGCCATTAAAATATTTCATATGCAGAAATTTAAATGTTATATATAGGTAATCATTTTTAAAGCTGCATATCTCAGATGAGCCAAAATACCAAAATATTTCAAGAAAAACAAACTTGGGGTAAATGCTCTAAGATTTTAAGGAAATTAATATTCAAGAATCACGTAATAATGTACATGTTATGTGCTATAAATGACTGGTTCTGCAAAATTTATCACCACATTTCTACTGTTTTATTAACGCAGTAAGGGCTAATTTTGCATAATTTGACATTTTTTTTCGGTAATTAATTTGGATTGTGATCTTGTTTTCTTCACAACATTTTACTTTTAACTACATTTTTTTTTTTAATTTTCATTAACTAAGCATTTTCTAGTAGGAGACTGTGCCTGCTTTAAAAAAAAAATTATTTAAAAAGATTCAGTTGAAATGGTTAACAAGGAGGTTTGTATTAAAACGTTGAATAAAACGGAAGCGTTAACGTTTTAGTGAAATGTCAGTTAATAGTTGAATTATTGTATTTTCAAAAGTTATGCGCTGACCAAAAATAAGCTGTAATCAATATCCCACTTAAATATAAATAAGGGATGAACTTATTTAATTAATGATTTATTTATATTTTGGCTACTTACACAGGGAAGGAAAATTTTCTCCGGTTAAGAGAGATTGGTATAATATTTCTATCAGATATAAAGAGCGTTCTACCGATAAACTTCAAATAAAATGCTTAAATATTATAGGAACCACCAACAGATAAAATCACATGTGCGGGTTATTTGCAGTTTAATAGATAAAAAAAAAATCTTAAGAAATCGACTCGGCAATTTTAAAATTCACCAAATGAAAGTTCAAATTACGAGGTATAGTCAAGACTTAGAGGTTCCTGGACTGGGTCTATGTCCATTAACGTTATTCTGCGTTCTCACTTATGATAGCCTTAAGTTACTTTGAAAGACTAAGTAATAACTTATATTTCAAGAATATCTATAACTTACATCAGAATTGAGCACGTAGTAATGACATTTAACTGTTATCATAATATTTATCATCACTAAGGTTATTATTATTATTATTATTATTATTATTATTATTATTATTATATTATTATTATTATTATTATTATTATTATTATTATTATTATTATTTATTATTGTGTTGTTGGGTTTTTTTTGTATGTATGTGTGTGCGTGTGTTTTTGTTGTTTTGTACTTTTGTTGTTGTTTTTTTTTTTTTTTCTTCTTTTTTTTTGGGGGGGGGGGGGGGGTGTTGTTGTTTGTTGTTGTTGTTTTAAATTGTAAAATAATCCTGTTTCCATAATCTTATGGTCTTTTATCGTAGGATTTGTAACATAGAATGTTTCTTTTTTATCTACATGTACATATATGAATACTGTACGTAATCAGAATAAAATGTTCTGCAGCTATTTTAAGAAGGATGATGATTTCATGCATGCACCATTCTGACCCATTTATAAGTAAATATACCAACATACCTATTTCATACAGATTTTTTTTTGGAATTATTATTTTTTCAAATCTCAAATACAAATTTGAAGGAATCAGGCAACGGAGTAGCTTTATATAATTAAAAAAATGCATAGAAGAACTTACCAGCAAACCATAAAATAAATATCCACTATAACTTTAACACTTAAAACCTGTCGTAATAAACGAGCACAATTAGACATATCTGTCACTCTTCAAAATGTCAAACATAAATAAATCATCTCAACACGCACGTGAATGTCTTACACATATGCTGTGTACAGGTAAAACATATATCCCGATCAATAAAATGATGTGTATATTTATATTTATTCTTATATTTTTATTATTATCATTCCAAACAGGTGGAATATTACGCTTTCAATCCAAGAATAATTGTTTTGTGGCAAATATGTACACAAAAGTTACTAGATTTCTACATTTATGAAAAAAATCATTCGAAAAAACATAAGTGCGCGATACATATAGGAAGTTTGATTGAGTAAATTCATCTGGCAAAATAACGTTAACCGCGTTATATTTTTTTCCACTACTACAATCTTTGTTTGTTTGTGTTTTTTCTTCTTTTTTTCTATCAATACATCAATTACTTTACCTCGCTTTGCTTCACTTCAAGCAAGAGGGCGGGAAACGTGTTAGTATTTACTTTTTTCGCTGATTAATGTGGTGTTAATGCGTTTTCCAAACATATTGGTTGTATATATTTAAGAAACTAGGGCGATTCAACAATGATAAGATTAAGTTTTTTCAATCTTTAAGTAAAATACACCGTCTGAAATAGTATGATAGCCTATGTTTAAAGCTGTTGAGTAGAAGTGTATAAAGATAAGCGCGAGCATATTTTGGTAACAGTGTTTTTAAACTTCTTAAGGCATTAATAATGCGTTAATAAAAAAAAGGTGCTCGACTTTCATATGAAAAGGTTGCTCACAAATAGGTAGAAGTGAGTTTCTTCCCCGGTGCGTGTGTCCCTGGCATGAAGTAACGACTTGAAAGGCGGCACCAACAGCCCCTTTTCAGGCATACCTCCTTTTGATAATGATTTCATGTTACTGTACCCTACACATTTAGGTTATCATTGACCGTCGTAAAGTGACATTCTTTTGGCGTATTCACATCTTTGGTTAATATTCCTTGGAAATTTCATGGAGTAGATTATCACCGCTTTGTGCTTCAAAATTAAGCCTGTAAGGGCATGACTGCAGGTGACATGTCCGGGGTCAGTACTCGACAGCGACAACATTTCAGACGAAAAAAAGTTAATTAATAACTGCACAAGCAAGTAAGTTACTTCTCCTATGACATAACATCAACACGTCGTGTACTTTATTTTCTGTCAGAAAAGAAGAAAGATGGTGTTTCAAGTGTCGTAATTTGTCATAGCTTTTTTTAAATAATGTATTTATCTGTCAAAATATATATATCAAAACTGCATTCAGGTGTCACCGACGCGTTACTTTGCGCCATGCTTCGGACAGGGTTTTGTTTAAATGTAACATATAAAAAGCACGAACTTGAAATAAAAAGATAAAAAAAAAATATGCCACATGAAAACGAAGAATTTTTAATCACTAAAACGTATAAAATTCTTTCTAAGCATAACCTTAATTTAAAACTGCTGTCTTAAAAATTGTCTTACGTATCATATCTTACATCGCATGCAATATGCAAGTAAATAGGTGATTTTCAATCATATAACAATTATTCAACAATAAATAAAATAAACATCTGGTTGAAAAATCAAATGTAACGTCAAACCTTAAATTAATATTTAAGATGAAAAAAAGAAGAAGAAAAAAGTGTGACCCCGACGTGATTCGAACACGCAACCTTCTGATCTGGAGTCAGACGCGCTACCGTTGCGCCACGGAGTCGGTTGATAAAATGGGCTACAAATAAATATCTAATACAAAAGTTTCTTATCGAGTGGTGTACGTTTACACACGGAACAACTCGGGCGATTACGGCAGTAGTATTGATTCGTAAATATTTATACTGCACAGCGTAGAAGTGTTTTTTATATAAAAGAGTCAAATTTAACTGTTTGCACAATAGATTATTCAAAAATGAAATGATTGTATTATTGTATTATGATAAAATTGCTGTAAGCCATTGGTATTTTAACTTATATTTAAAAATTCATTACATGTTTAAATATTTTAACTTTTTTCGAGATTATAGATTACAGGATGTGTTTAATCTGGGACTTACAACCATTTTAAGTCCCAGGTTTAATGCGCTTATTGTCGAGTATATGTACTGTAGTACTTTGTACTTAGTAAACGTTGTATTTTTATTGCATTTTAACCCTTTCCCTCATGAGCATATTGTGAAAAATGGCCGTTTTCATTGAAAAGCCTCCTGTTACAAGTTCAAACTGCTATGAAACTATGAAAAATGCTTCAATACTTATTAGACTTGGCACAAATGTTGACTGGACCATTGCCTTTGTAGTCTTAAATTTCCTGTTACTATGGCAACGAGGGGACATCAAATCACTATTTTGCCTTGATTTTTTCCATCAAAATTTATTTCAAAGTGGGGATTGAGATAGAGTCACGTTACCGTAGGATCGACCTGGGGTCATTTTTAGCCTCTCACGAGTACAAAATTTTCTTGGCGATGCGGGGGACTACCGCTCCCCTTCAAACCCCCCAGGGTCTTTCTATTAATTTGAAATACCTATA